CAGGAACCTGCTGTAAAACAGCAATTATGCTGAGTCAGGCTTGATTTTTAGTTATCTTTTCCTGTTGAATCAATAAATCAAATCAAATCAACCAGTTTAGGATCATAAAACACTTTAGAGGTAACGCACAGGGAAATACTGGCTTTTGTTGGAATAGTGGTACAAGGACAAGAATATCTGAATTAAAAAGAAATGTATATACTGTATATAGTAACCCAAATTTTAAAGAAAAGTGAAGCTTTGGAAAGATAGAAATATTTAAAAACAAAGATATTAAAAATGTCAGAAAGAGTACCTTGAGTTTTCGGCGAGCGTTGAATTTACGGAGACATTCGACAGTTTCCTGTCTGTGCATCATGGACGCCACGGTAGAACGGTGCTGTTAGAGGACAGGCACAAGAAAACATCAACACACACATGGTGAATTCTTCAATGAGCTCGCAGTGCTGCATGAATACGTTTCATGTTCAGATGGAAGTGCTGTGCGACTCCAGATGCTCTCTGAGCTGCTTTAGATGAGTGTGAAAACTTACGCAGACCCATGGGTGTTTGAGGGCTTGTTCAGCAGTGATTCTCTTGGCTGGGTTGATGGTCAACATCTGGTTGATCAGGTTCTTTGCTTCTGGAGTCACAGTGTCCCACTCTGGGGATGGGAACTGAGAAAAATAATTTAAAAATTAATGAAAAAAAAAAAGACCGGTGTCAATACTTCCTCTCTGAAAGACTTGGGCGTCTCCACCTTCAGGTCTCTGGCCATCTGAGCACGAGTTTTATCAATAGTTTGAATGTAAAACAATACATTTACTAAAGTCATGTCTAGGGCTGGGAATCATGGCCAATTCTCTAAATCCATTCGATTTCAATTCATAAAAGTTCTGAATTGATTAATCACGATTCGATTCAATTAAAATGTTCATTGATAATGTATTTTGCAACTTTGTTGCAACTGTGTTGCAAAATACAATATCACCCTTTTTTCTCATCAACATAAACAACAGGTTTTAAGGACAAACTTTTAAATTAATCTGTTTAATCTTGAAAGAAAACTGTCACAAGTTTAAAAGGTTTTAAAGTAAAAAGGAATTACAGGCGACAGTGTTGTTGGAGGAATTCATTTTTAAGTAATTAATAATTATTTTGATAAATAAGTGATGGGAATAAGGCTACAGGAGAAGAAGTGGGCTAATTTAAGTATACTTTTCCCCACTCCTTTTGAGCGTATGAAAACTGTATTTTTGTAATGTCTCTGTTACATTCTGCTGTTGGGTTCAATAAAAATTATTAAAACTTAATACATATAACTTATTAAAACAACTACAAAATTTCATCACTGTAGATTTCGTTAAAATGTTTCTTAAAGTTTAAAAATAGTAATATTGGTTAAACGATTTTGTTAGAATGTCATCTTTAACACATGCTGGTGGAAAACAGTTCAGATGTTTACCTACCATAGTTTGGTTCGAGCGCCTAATGAGCCCCTCGTCAAACCCTGCTTCGTTTTTGCTACCACGTAGGAGCGCAAATCTTTGCAAACAAAAGTCACCATGGTCTCTGTTGTCTTTATGTTCTGCTGAGAATCAGCTGATCATATGAGAGGTTCCTTAGTTTCTTTTGTTTTGATCCAGACAACTTGTTATCAAAAGCTAATGTTAGCACTGAACATCAACTGGATGGAAATATACGGCAAGCCAGGAGTGACAAAATATAGAAACGTGCCTCAGACACCATGGAGAAGAATCCATCTCATGCACCGTGAATTGATTTTCCCAAATTTAAATGAAATCGATCCAAGATCYATTAAATCGATGTTTTTACCCAGCCCTAGTCATATTTATGTCACTAGTAGGAATGAAAGCGTGAAACCCCTTTGATAAAAAGCTACATTGTAGCTTGATTAACCAGCGACTAAGAGAGGATACACCTTCTCATTCTGTATCTTCCACACAAACACACACCTCTGCAATGCGTCAGGAAAGCCCTGATAGGATCAATAGCTTTGGACCAAATCTCAATTGGACACTTTTAAACATTCAAAAACTGCTTAGCCAACCCCTGCACTGCACCCATCAGAAATATACACACACACTTACATCGTATGCCCCAGCTTTGATCTGCTGATAGAGTTTGTGTTGGTCTTCATCCCAGAAAGGAGGGTATCCAACTAACAAGATATAGAGAATAACACCTGATGGGAAATAAAGTGGGAAGAAAAAGATTGTGTTACAAAACTGGGCAAAGAAGCATTAGGCAACAAGTAATGTTCCACAGAAGAATACTATATATGTATAAAGAAAAATAAACAATGAAAGGATGTTGCTTTGTAAGAAAAAAGGCTTTTGTCGGCTCTTTGAAACAGTTTTAGGGTTAAATTGATCTTAATAGTGTAAATACTGATTCAGCACTCTTGCTTTTAATGTAATAAACTCTTGGCTTTTAGTGACAACTCTGTCTCAGCTTCTTTAGCAGATTTTAATCATTCAGCTTCCAGCAGAAAATGCAATTTAACTAGTTTCAGTATCTCATTCACTCATCTTTAAACAACAGGAGCTTCTTAAGGCTGGTCAGAAAAAAACAATCACTGAAACCATCTGGAGTGAAACTATGTTAGAATGTGAAGCTCAAACTCACCACAAGCCCATATATCCACAGGTTTGCCYTAGGGGTCCTTCCTCAAGACTTCAGGGGAGAGATAACCCGGAGTTCCAGCAAACCCTGACCAGCAGACAAAGAGGACCAGTTTAGCCAGATGTTTTACCAAATCATAAGTTAAATGTTTAAAATGACAAGAGACCTCTCAGAACGTTGTGCAAGACCAAATTACAATAAGAGCCACAAGCAAATGTAGTTTAATTCCTGTTGGGAAGTCAGCCACAAAAAAACCACCTAAGACTGAACTAGAAAGTGGGTAATGAGTCTGAAGTAATAATCGTCTCAAATGCTGAGTCAGCACTAAAACTGTTGCGTTCCTGTTTATAATTTCTACATCGTTTTTAAACAATCAAACAACTTCTGCATATTTTATGCTTCTCTACCCTTAACCATTCATATACCAAAACGTTTGGCTCGTTCAGGAGATTGTTGCTATGACTTTTGGTTAAAATTTTATACTTTATACTTTTATACTTCCAAAATATCTACTTTATTTGCAAAAAACATTTTCATTGAAACACATTAACCTTTCTGCAACTGCTTCAACATGCTTGCTTTATTTTTGCCCCCTTTTGTTCCATTAGGATTTTGGCTAGTTCTGATAATTTTAGCTTTTAGTTACTGTTCTGCTCAATTGAGCTCTTAGCTACTGTTTTGTCTATTTTAGCTTGTATTTTCATTAAAGCTATTCTGACTGTTTCAGCTTTTGGTCAGTTCATTTTAGCTTGTTTTGATTTTTCTTTATAACCAACAATTACTTTCAGTTTCTACAAATAAATTTCC